ATCATAAAATCGAATGTTTTTAAATCATTTAAAATTTATAATATATTTAATTGTTATTTAGGAGAACTAATAAGAAGTTTGATTCCATTTGTTCTGTTCTTATTGTTTGTTGAAAAGTTGTTTTTTCAGTGGGAATATAATACAGTATTAAACATGTTAGTTAAAAATATTATGCTAAACAAATGTAATAATTATTGAATGGTGAATTTAAAAAATCACAAAGTAGATATTTCTTTTCAAATTGTGTAGCATTGTTTGTGGGTTTGCAGGGGTTTTTGGAGGGCCATGGCATGGAAAAGTCTGGGATCCTCTGGTCTAGTCAACTCTAAAGTGATGTCTTATAGTTATGATTAATTAGTTCCTTATGAGCTGTAATATCTGAGTAGAGAGAAAGAGGCAAAGTCTTTGTTCAGGCTGGGTTAGAGGCTAAAAATGTTCTTATTTATGGTAAAACAAAAAAAGCTCCATAGAASTGGGCTAATTTGTAACTAAAAACATTACACTCAGTACTCAACATATGGTAAATGAGCTCCAGATTTTCAGGCATACAAAAGGCTACAGTTGGGAGTAATGCAGAGTTTGCTCTTGTCCAAAGAATTGCTAACATATGGGAGGTTTTGGGACTGAACTGCAAACTTTATTGTAAGTTGGCAACCTATTTTATTACATCAGGCATTGCCAACTTTTATTTCCTAAATGTGGCCACAGTCTTTTTAATGTATTTTTCTAAGTGTATTTTGTTTAGGATTGTTGAGAATTTCTTTGGAAATGTGAAGTGCATTTTAAATGTAAAGATGCCTATTATTCATATTATTAACTTTGGTGCATGCAAAGGTGTATGAGCTTTTGTTGATTTTCAACAAATGTCTTAAAAAGAAAGTTTTTTTCTGGTGATCTGGTGTCAATATGGCACTGCTATGCTTCGACAATAAGATGTGGGCCACATCTGGCAATGATGACTGCTTTTGAGATGGCATGCCTCAACTGGCCCAGTTATGGTTTGGTTTGTGTGGTGCTGGACCATGCACGAACCATAGCAAACCACATCTGGGCCACCAAAGGGCCATCATTCTTTCCGGTGGGCCGAGTATTATATTGTTTTCCACATTGTGTGGGCCAAGGACTGGGCCAGACAAAATTTTCAAAATTTTGTATGTGGGTTTGTTATGGTTCCTGTTCTGGGTTATCGAGCAAGCGTCATTGCCTCTGTGATGAGTGCATTCTCCCATCAGAGCTTCACTGGACAAAGTTTATTAACCTGTGGATGTACCACTATAAGTGAACAACTTTTGGAACCAACCCAGTTTAAGAAGGCCACCACAGCTAACTTCACTTTAAAAAGCACAAAAATGTGACACAGTATAGTTACGTAAAAGACCATTTTGTATTTACAAATGCATATGTGCAAAGTGGCTGGGTCATATGAAGGTGCTATGGAAATACCATTGGTTTTGAACAAATCTAAATAGTAAATTTACACTGTTATGCAGACCCAACGTATTTGCTCTGAAAAAGATGAGATTCTTCCCATATAACTTTAAGCTAGATTATTTTTTATCATCATGATTGAAAGTACAAGTTATTATGTTGATACTAAATAAATGGGCAGTATTCCAACTAACTGCTGGACCATATAATAAAGTAAGTAGTGGGTACCAGTAGGACCTAAATAATTGAATATTTTGTGGCTTGCTCTTACCCACATGGATGAACATCAATGTCTGTAAGAGCAGATAAGAAAAAAAATCCAAAATGAACTGAAGTGAGAGAGTGGTTATTATATTTTATTGGTAAATGCATAACATTATGTCGACCAAAAACATGTTAAAAAAAAACACAAGATACAAAATTATATTTTACAAATATAAACTTAAAATTTCACTTTCTATTTGCTCATAAAATATCAGTGTTTTCCCTGTTATAATTTGCAAAAAAGCATCCAGTGAACGTAAAAGAAAAAACACGGTTGCATCTGTCAGATTAAATGTGGTTTGTTTTTACCAAATAACCTTTGACCCCGACCCACAATGCCGTGCACACCAACAACTAGGAAATGGTCTATCTATTGACATTAACCAACACTACAAGTTGGTCAGTTTTACAGATACTGAGCTAAAATTTGATGTGGTAGTAGCTGAGAGTAGTTCACAACACACACTCTGAGCATGGCATCTCTGGGACGAAATTAATGTTCGGTCTTTAATTTTATTTGAACAGGCTTGATTCGGACTGTTATGTAACTGTGAGGGAAGATTTGAATATGTTGCTGCATAAATCACTGTTTGAACAGCCAGCAGTGGAAACCTGAGTATGCGTGCGCGCGCGCGCGTGTGTGGTTACCCACTGTGGTGTGCTGCAGTCCGCTCCCTGCCGTAGTTGAGTAAACTACGCGGATATTTGCGGGCGCAGCTGCTCAAGCAGTGCGTGCGTAAAGAGAAGAACCGCTCGATAAACGGCAGCGCAGCGGAGTGAGAAAAGCCGGCGTGTAGTCTCAAGTCTTTTCGCAGCAGTTTGCAGCTGTGAAACAGCAGAGAGAGAGAGGGGAGAAAAGCCTCTCGGTGAACTCACAGTGCCATCTGTGCGTCGTGATTTTAGTGTGTCAGAGAACAGAGCCAGCGGAGGAGGGGGGAAAAGGAAAGGAAAGGAAAGGAAACCTCGGCGGGAATGGCTTCATCTCCGTGCGGCAACACTAACTTTGATTCCGGGCTGGAAATCAAAACTCGCTCGGTGGAGCAGACGCTTATTCCTTTGGTTTCGCAGGTGAGTATATAAATATATATTTAAAAAAAAACGATTCCGTTTGAACTTTTACTACCTAACTTCACGGTTGTGCACGAGTCAAGGTGTTTACCTCCGGCTCGTGCTGCGTTGTTTTGACGYAACTTCTTCCATATTGCGGTGACCTATAAGCGTGCAGGTTTTCTTTTTGATTGTTTAGAAAAGAGGTTAGATGAAGAAAGTGCTCAACCCCTCCAAAAAACACCAGCTTATAATAAATAAAACGCGTTTGGGGGGCGTGTTTACAAACTTGACGTGTGGCCTCGCGCCTAACTTCAACGCAAAGATGTCATAAAAGTTTTTCAGAAGGTGCCGGACTTCAGAGCCGAGCTGTGACTCCCACTTCCCCGTGCGCCTCTTTAAAAGCACGTGCTTTGTTTTACAATAAACAGGAGAAAATGAAGGAGGCACTTAAAGGCCACTGCGCTCTTTCAACAGCTCAAGTTCCCGCATTTAAAGCGTCCAAGTAAGGAGGCAGTGAGTTAATGAATCATGTTACTGTAAAACAAAGTGGGCTCTCAACTCTTAAACTGCTTTATTACACATGTCCAGATTATTAAAGGGATGGCGTGGATCTTCTGTAGTGGTGTTTTGTAGAAAGGGTACGAAGAATCAACATCTTACCTGCCGTAGATAGTAATTCGAGGTGACTCAGTTTGGATAAATAATAAATTAGATTTTACCAGATTCACAAGGAAATGGCAGGTTTGAGCTGGGTCAAAGTGGATTGCTGCCTTCTTAAAACAACTCGTTTCAAAACTTTGGTTCCCTCTCACAAACCAAAAAACACGCATGTTAGGGTAATTGGTAACTCTAAATTGTCCCYCTGTGTGGGTCGAAGTGTGAATAGTTGTTTGCTTCATTTGTCTCTCCGTGGATCTCTGTGATGGACTTGCGACCTGTCCACGGTGTACCCTGCCTCTCACAGTGACTGCTCCAGACAGACACCAGCTCTCTGTGACCCAGAAATGAGAACTGGATAAAGAAAATGATGGATGGATAGAATAGAGATTTGAGGTGATTTAAACATGACTTTTTTATGTGTTTAAATGAAATCAAAATGAATCAAAAAATGAGTTGAAATGCATTGCTGAATCAATTATTTTACCCACCTCTACTCACAAGGTTATATTCTTGCAGAAATATTACGATATTCTTTTTGAAAGTGCCCCACATTACACCTGAAGTGCTTGAGCTTACAAATAATTATAGAACTTGATGTAAATAACTACTGAATGTGAAAGGCTGCGATGTAAAGGTTCACATGAACCGCTGTAAAGTTTTTGACACTAAATTTGTTTGGAGGAGGCGTCGGGAATCCGCTTTAGGTTTGGCCCTGCTTGGACTGGCTGTTAGTTTAATTCTGACAGGACCGACAAGCTATGTCTCCAAACTGAGCTYGTTCAAAAAGCGATCTATAGGAACTAAGGCAATAGTTGTTCATAACTTTTCCACAGAACTTCAGAAAAAATTGAACTTTTGCTTTAAAAGGACTGAGTTTCTGCTTCCCATCTGACCAACAGCACACATCTCTGAGAATGAGAAGAATAAGGAAATGGTCCTTTTCTAAATGCTTCTGATGACCTCTTGTTGTCTAAAGACAGAAGGGGCAGAGACCTGTAAAGGCTCAGTTGTATTCACTGAGACGGGGGAGCAGAGAGGCAGCTCATTGTCGGGGTAACAACMGGGTGGGAGTGTGGTGTTCAAGCCCATGATGCTGTCCTCCCCCTTGTCTGCTCTGCCAACTAGCTTCCTCTCTCTCTTTTTTCTCACTGCTCTGGCTCATTTGATAGATAAGGTCATCCTGTACTGAATGGATGAGTTGGTTATCAGAAAAATACATCAGGTAACAGGGGTGTGCTTTCCATGGCAGGCATTTGTTTTAGATTCTTAAGTCAGTCATGAACATATTGAAAGTTCAGACTTTTTGCTTTTACTGAGAAATTGAGTTCTTTAAATTTCTATCTGAGATTGAAGCCGTGGTAAATTTAGGAATATTTAAAGTGAGAAATGCAGCAATGTTTCASCAGAATGTGCAAACTTAAGTTGCACCTCTTCCTGCTGAGTAGGACCAGCTTGGTTCCGTTGTATAGCATAAAAGAATGCATTGTATGCTCTCTCTGCACTCAGCACATCACAGTCTTGTTGAATAGTGGGCCTCAAGGACAATCTTCTTATTCCTTTTTATTTTTCATCATGAGACATGTACCCATAGCAACAGAGCTGCGCAATGCTGGCAAAAACTGCTTTTTCAACAACTACCAGCTGCAAAATAGTTAGCCATTGTTGCTAGTGTGACGCCATCAAGACACTCAGGCGCTGTTGTGCGATATGTTAGTGAGTGCTTTCCACTGAGTCTGGTCACAAGGCTCCATTCCAGTCAAATAAACTGAATTRAAGTTTGAATAAATTTGTTTTTGATATCAAATTGAATACTGTGAAAGTCCATAGAATTAAAAAGGTTCTTTACTTAAAGAAAATGCCTTTATATTGCTCAATGCAGCATAGGGCTCCACAGTATATTGAAAATTTATCATCATCGCGATAATAGCCTGTGCAATATGCATATTGCAAAAAAACTGCATAAACTGCAATAAATGGTTGGCTCAGAAGTTTGCATTTATGCATTTGTCAGAAGCTGCATTTCCAGTGACCGTGAAAAAGCGCAAATTAGAATTTCAAAAATAAAATTGCTTGATGGAAATACGTCAATAAAAAAAAACATGTTTTTTGACAAAATGTTTTTGTGCTAGGATAAGTTGGTTTTTCAAAATTGGTGTATTTTGCAAAACTACAATGGAAACACTTTTTCCGCATCACGGGAGTCACGTGATCAACAACCGGATGTTTCTACTGGCTAAAAAGACGAAGAAGGAGACAACAGGAAGTAGAATTAGTAGTAAAATCACCGAAGTAGTAAAAGAAAGTAATAAAATTACCAGCTAAAATTGTCTTAAAAACGCTGCATACGTAGCCACTCATAAGGGGCTTGTCACTCGAAAGCCTCGATAAGACGCAGACGTCTCCTCTGATGATGAGCACTAGTGCCATGGTAGCAATATGCTATGTGTTTACATCCATTGCCGCCATGTTTGTAATGACTTATCGCGAGAATAAACGTATTCACGCGTGAGTTTAATAGCACTTCTTACTTAATGGAAACACCATATTGTGAAACTGTTTTCTCAACATTAACAGAATATCGACAAAGTTTTGCACACATTTGCAATGGAAATGCAACTAATCACACCGAAGCTTGAAGTATTTCAACAATCAAATGGAGCCCTTCATGTATTTGGTCAGTTGGATGGATCTCTTCACATTTTCAAACAATTCATTCTGGAATCAAATTTTTATTTATTTTTTGTTGCTCTAAACCCAGAACAGAACATAAAGACATCAACACTAGATACTTATGTGTTTGTTTATTTACCGCAAGTCATATTGTCATCGTAAWATTAAACACTGTTATCGCACATCGCAGGTTTTCCTAATATTGTGCAGCCCTAGTGCAGAATATTAAAACCTCTAACCCCTTCCAGCTTTGCAGGAGAATGTATAGTAACAGCTAAGAACGCAAAAATGTGAAAAGCTGCAGAAAAATGATGTAAATGCTCTCATTGATAATGGTTGTTTTGTTGGGTTTTTACTGCAGAGGCAGAGTAAATTGGGGGTTACTCGTTACTGGAACTTGTATTAGTAAAAAGTCGAAACTAATGTGAAGAAAATGTAACATAAAAACAGGAGTAACATGAATTTTTAATTAAACTTTGATGTTTAATATTCGGTCTGCATCTTAATAAAAAAAACTTAAAACATTTTAACCACGAACTTACAATCAAGATGCCAAAAAATTGGGTTTTCTGATTGCAGAACAACTTCAGAATTGAGCCACACTTGTGTAGTATCCATTAGATACCAGTCCGATACCAGCATCAAGTACTCGTACTCGTACTCGTAAAAGCCGACCGATACTCTTAACCGATACCGCTTTTGTCCCCTTTTTTGTTCCTCCTGTGCTGCACTGCAGCACAAAGGGTAAACAACAATCCATACCAGGTGGGGGCGCTAACGCACTGACACGTTATTTCTGACCGCACCCCCGAATAACAGAAGAAGAACGATGAGAAGAAGAAGAAGTAACGTCGGCAGTTTGGAGATATTTTAAGATCGACCACCAAACGAGGACACAAACAAGCAGACTGTCTGCTGTGCTCTGCTAAACTGTCAAGAGGAGGAGCGAAAGTTGGATGTTTTAACACCAGCAATTTGATTAAACATTTGAGGACAAGATATGACAAAGTGTCCTGATGCATCTCAGTAATCCAGGTAAAAAACAAAGGAAAAAAAATTGTATAGGTCCTCTGGACGGGTTCTTCTTTAATGAAACGTTTCATCTCTCTTCCAAGAGACTTCTTCAGTCTGAGAGTTTCAGGCAAATTCAGGCTTTTATGTCCTGCCTCCATGTGACTGATACTCACATCACATGACCATCGTTCACAGGTGACTCATACTCACGTCACATGGCTATCGTTCACCCTAATTAATACCTTTTGTTAACAGGGGGTGGAGTGATACTGCCAATGGCAGCGCTGTAGGAGGGGGACAGCTGAAAACGGAGGCCCCCACCTCTGTTTAATGATGGACGGTCTTTCTTTACAAAAATGGCTTCTTTTACTCCTCTCTCAAACCAACGTTCCTCTCTATCAAGAATGAGAACATCCTCATCTCTGAAAGAGTGACMGCTGGCCTGTAAATGAGAGAAAACTGCAGAGTTCTGGCCATTAGAATTAGCTCGTATGTATTGGGACATTCTTTTGAACAGTGCTTGCTTTGTTTCCCCGATGTATAACTGGTCGCGGTCCTCCTGGCACTTCACAGCATATACAATATTGCTCTGTTTGTGCCGGGGCACCGGATCTTTGGGGTGAACCAGCCTTTGCCGTAATGTGTTTTGGGGTTTGACATGACAAMGAAGTCAA